GAAATAAGAGCGGAGGAAATAGAAGCCGGGAAACGAGTAGAACAAAAATGAATTAAGGAAACAGAAGCTGGGAGAATAGAAGAGGTGAAACGGAGTGGAGAAAAAAAAATAAATGGGTAAACAGAGAATCTGCGATAAATAGAAGTGGAGCGAGGGAAAACGAAGCAAGGAAACAAGAGCGTGGCAATCGAGGCATTGTGGGGGGAGGACGGAGGCAAAATAACAGGGCCACCAGCGTAAGAGCTGGAGCAAGGTGCCGGTGTGAGGAGCCGGAACGAGGCACGGGAACGGAGCTGGGAATTCCAGCGGCAAACCGGAACCGGGTCGGGAAGGGTGAGTGCACGGCGGTGGGGTGGGGAGTGGCGGTCACGCGCGAAACAGGGCGGAGAGGGCGGCAGGTCACCGCACTGCGTCGGCACGCGCACGCGCCCCGCGCCCCGCGCCCCGCGCCCCGCGCCCCGCGCCCCGCGCCCCGCGCCCCGCGCCCCGCGCCGGCTCTTCCACTGAGCGAACGACTTGTTCGCGGCCAACACATTCCTGTATGCAGCGTACAGGCAGTTAGTGAACAGCGGCCCAAGGAGCTCTGGCAACGTGGACCTTTATCACAGAAATGCACACAGAATTCACTTTATCAAGAATCACCTCAATCTAATGGATCTCTTTTCTCATACGTACTCCACTGTGCTAACGTCCTCAGTTATGCCAGATACTGTTTTATCAGTGTCGTAACCACAGAGCTGTGGATGCCGACGTGTGACAGATTCGGAAATATCTAGGCGAGGGACGAGACGTTGTTCCAATTACTTCTTGTCCTTAACACTAAATATTAATACTACAAAAATATACAGCACAACTTCTATTCATTGTTCGAATTTTTCTGTTATGATTTTTGTCGCCATGGCGACATGTGTTTTAATGGTTGTAGGCAGATCATACATCGATAATGATATTAACATATAATGTTAATCTATAATGATAGTAATGTAAGTTTATAAGTTTTTAAATATTTAAAAACACTATCAAAGCACTTCATTTTAAAAAATCGATTTACATCTGGAATGTACTCGATAACTATTTAAAAAGAAAAAACTTTATCCCGATGAGTTTGATTCATGAAATACTTTCGGCCTAAACCGGAAACAAGGAAAATGCAAGTCGTTTAATTGAACGTTTTAATTTACATGCAGTTTAAAACAATATTGACTTGTATGCCTGTCACTCAAGTTGAATTTGCTAAATATTTTGTTTACCGCCCTTGAAGCGTCTTCGCGTCAACATCGAAGATAAGCATATTTTGCTTCCCGTCTTCTTCTTAAATATTTCCAATCAGAAGACTAGTTGCCTATTTATTCAGGTGACTACCGAAACGTTTCACTTTATTAATGAAGTAAAAAACTGAGAGATAGTTTACAAGGATTTTTACGTTAGAAATATAACATATTTCTGTAGTTTGTTTTGGCACTAATTGACTAAAGCGATATGCTGAAAATTATACCTACAATTCAGTTAAAATTGAATTAAAGTTAATTAAAGACAGTAAAATGAAATTAAGAGAGCCAGTTAGAATTAACGAATAAAGGTTTATGTATTTTTATTTAGGGTAATAATTTTTGTGACTAACATAATTTTCTATCCTTAAGATATTCTTTATAATTAGCAAATATCTCCTGGTATATCGTGTTTAATGAATGTCTGCCTGTCTATCTGTCTATCTACCTATCTATCTGTCTATCTACCTATCTATATGTCTATCTACCTATCTACCTATCTACCTATCTATCTATCTATCTATCTATCTATCTATCTATCTATCTGTGTTCATAAGCTAAATTCACATTTATTGTACACTGGGCTAGCTCTCAAGAAGGGCTCATAAAAGAAAGAAGCGGCGGCACCTGCAAAAAGAAAAACGTATATTTGACCTCGAAAACCCGTGGAAATGAATTGTAATTGAGGTAAAAAAAACTAGAACAATATTCATTGCTTCATACGCGATACTTCCGTCAGCTCCAAAAGCGCAAAGATCGTCTGTGAAGCTCACATTCCTGCCAACTACGCATTAGGTCCACGTTCTCGTTACACTTGCCCTAAAATCCTTCCTTTTTGTGGAATGACGTCGCTTGGACTCGTGCCCATGTGCAGGCCTAGCAGCGGTAGGTGGTCTACAATTCACGAGGAGCTAATGCAATGAATGCGACCATATGGGCGAGGGGAAAGGCGAGAATGAGAGACAGGGAGAGAGGGCGAGAGGGAGAGAGCGAGCCGCGTCGCGTCTTGTGAGGTCACCACCAGCAGTCGTGTGAAAGGATCGGGCCAATTGCGAAAATCTCCACTTCGATATTTATAACGCGTCACATGCATCGGAACTACAAGGAAGTCGCTACGAGATTTCTAAAAGCAAACATACATCGAGAAATAACTTTGACATTATTTATATTAACAAACTACACGAAGACAGTTTTTAAATTATATTCGTATTTTGATCTTTCTGAATCTCCAAATCTGATACGTATCAATTTTATCCAACTGTACAAGAGAAAGAGGTTTTTGTTTTTCGTCGCGAGTTTCTTTCCTCCTACGTAACGTTTAAGCAAGTCAGCGGAGTTTTATTATTGATATAAGGTGGGATTGATATTTGTAGTGACAGACATTACAGTAAATCGGAATATACATGCTTAATATCAGAGTAAAAGTTACTTGTATGATTAAAGTATTGCCGTATATTGTACACGTTAGTCAAGGCTGAAACTGAACTGCACGGTTCCTACTTGTTTCTTTTGTTAAAAAGTAAGAGTATTGTAAAGAATCTAATAAAACACAAGTGTCATATAGCTTGTAAAACATACCCACAAATGTTCACGAACAAAACGTATATACAACGAATGTTTGGAACCGCCTGGCATGTGGCATAATATTCTGGGGCAACTCTTAAGAGTCTTTCTCGATGCGACTGATTCCCTGATGTGCTTCTATCCCAGCTCCGAACTTGGGTAGGTGTACCACATGACTCCATCTTACCTCCAATTCTCTTTGATATCTGCACCGAAAAATCGAAAGACCTCCCTCACTCTTTTCCCTGACGATCAAATCGTGTACTCAACTAACCCAGTACTGGATGACGTAACTCTTGACGTTCTAACTCACGTGGATACAATATCTGATTGGAATAGCAAAAGGTGAATGAAATTTAACTCTGCAAAATGTCAAGCCATATTTTCTCCCTACGAAAAATCTCCTTACTTCCTCAGTTAGCATACAACTTTACATCCATCTCATGGTTACCATCCAATATCCCAGAAAATATCACCAACTCTTCCCAATTGCACGTCGATCTTGTCCTCTCCAAATCCATATCAGTATCCATCTCTACAAAGATGTCATGAGACCCCAGTCCAATTTACGGTCAGCAACCAAATCACAAATTTAAATACTTCAGATCTTCCAATATCGTTTCCTAAGTGTCATTACCAAAGCACCAAGTTCGTGAACTACAGTTTTATACCAAACTCGTTATTTTCATCACGAGCTCGGTATTACTCCCATCACTACTCACAGCAAACTATTTTCCCAAAAGTTTTATCACAAACGTTCCTTAACGCCACAAGCTCTCCACTTCCAACTAGGGAAACGAACCAGAAAAAGAATACTTTTCCCCTTCTTATATTACAGGGGAATTATTAGTATTTGAATTAAAAAGGAAGCAATCCATTTCGTAAAATTTTCTCGTTTCATATTTTATTTGATACTTCCGTTAAATATCGATCATATTTGCCCTTTGAACTCACATTACATTAATTAACAACAATAATACGTAAATGAAAGCAATAGCATAAGTATTCCTTTCTTTGCGTTAATACCACCAAAAGAAACATTCGACATAGACATCATTTTGTTATACCTAATAAGTGGTATAAGCGTGTACTGTATACCTTCATTACGCATGGTAAATTTATCTTCTTACAAATAGTAATATCAAGTTCATGTACCCTACCTTTCGGAGATCTCACAGATATCTTTCAATAATGTTCCACGTGGCTGCATTCATCGACACATCAGATTAAATTACATTCTATCTCAAGAAATCATAACTGAATGTATTAATTCTAACATTACTGTAATACTATAATTATAATAATAATAATAATAATAATAATAATAATAATAATAATAAAAATAATAAAACTCAGGATTAAATCGCACTGACTCTGCAATGTACTATTGGGTTCCATTTTACATTTCAATTAACTTCCTCTTCTAGTGAATCCATCGTCTCACAATTATGATTCGTTTTCAGCTAAACTCAGCTGACAATTACGTGCTTTTCGTGCCCAACATTTTCGTAAATTGTCACTGTCCACTGACATGCATAATCATGTTTTGATAGCGATGAAGTGCGGATTATCTCAGTATTTGCAAATCTAGTGACATATCAACCTTTTGGTCACCGAATCGTCGGAGGGTCAACGAAATCGTAAGTGAAAACTCCCTCCTATATTGGCAGATTCACGGCTATTTCCTAATTTTTAATCTCATTAAAACCGAACAAGGTTATAAAAAAATATTTGAATTTTAAATATTTCAGGACATATTGCCTCTTTCACTTAAGATATCTGCAACATATCCAGTGGTAACGTTCTGACTTTCAAAACGCACAATTGCATGGCGTTCAAGAAAATTGCGATGCACTCTACAGATACTGAAAGATACGCGAGAAAATCATCTTAATTTTTTTATAAACCTTGAGAGTGAAACGAAATTTAATACGGATAATCACACCGGTCTTTAAAGGTATGTAGTGCATAGACTTGCATACCACTATTTTGTACATAATTTTTCGATTGAGAAAATTTTAAGAATCAAGAGGTTAGCACTTTGCCCCTTTTAGAAGTACCACTCGAGTGAAGTTCGTTTCAAACTAAATATTTGTTGAAATAAACTACTAGTAAACGTGTTGATCCAAAAATATTCGTAAATACTACAATTCCATTTAAAATGATAAATGTTATGTGAATTTAAATAAATATGATGTTTATTCCATAAAAAAATATTCAAGACAATAAAACAAAAATATACATTTTTTAATTTATCATCACAAATTTCAAGTTCATACTTCCACTACGAAGACTGCATGTTATCATCTAACTGGGACCACTGAATAATGCTCTCTTGGATCTCGCGCATAAGTCCATTTTGATTTCTAGGAGACTTCAAGTTCCGAACTTCCGCAGCCACAAATTCTCCGAACGTTGAAAATCTGTCTTTGGTCGGCTCTTCGAAAACTCTCAATGTCCTTCTAACTACTTGATCCTCATCTTCACTTTTCCGTTTCTTTAACTGAGGGTTTGTAATCGGCACCACCACAGTTTCTTCCTTCTCTACAGGTCGAACAGGTTCCTGAGGGCTTGGAATCTTGGAAGATGACTGAGAAGTTTCTTCCTGAAAAGTTCATAAAGAAAGTTTATAGTTTCTGAAAAATATGCATAATTACATTACATACCACATACACTTTTCAGAGGACCAAAACGGTAGAATTTTACATACCCAATTTTTTTATGAAATATGGAATTTTCGTAAAAGTTTTGGACCCTTATGATGCTGTAAATGTAGCTTCACTATGCGCACGTTTTGTTGAACTGCCCTTTTGCTTGTAATGGTAAGAGTAGAGGTAAGGGGGAGTTGTTGTTTTTTAGCAATTCAGAAAAATCATACTTGCAATTCGTGTACCGATGCAAATAAGTTTTCTATACTTCAGAAAGAAAATTACTATTTTTCAAATATTGCTAATCTTGCGATTTTTAAAATTTATTTTTATTTATTTATGTTAAACTTTTACTCATCTTTCAACTATTTTTAATTAAAATGACGGGAAAGGATTCTGGAACTCAAGACAACGTGCGCAGATAATATCCCCCCTACGTCACATACAGTTTTTACTGTGTTTTTTTGAATAAATCTAAATCTAAACCTTCGTCAAGGAACGGATTCAGCAGGCTATGGCTCTGTCTACCGATGCTGATACATGTTTATTTCCATGTAGGATGCGAAAGAAAAAACTACAAAATAATAAAGAAATGCTTAAGACCTCTTCATTTGAGTTTTAGTCCAAAACATCCCATATTCCATACGACGTATTTGCTGAAGGTGATAAAAGTAAAGGCCGTTGATCGTTTCATAATATTTTATAAAATAATTATCCACATTTACATATTCAGGATTCACAACAGACCATCTACTAAAGATTAAAAAGAGGTCAAAAGAAATGTGGAAATAAAAATACTTATAATCTTAACAAAATTCAGTAGGAAACTGATTTTGTGTCTACAAAAGACAACAAAATGCCACGTATTCGTCAGAAAAAGGACTTGGAACGCGCGGCATAGAAAATCGTTTCCTCGTCTTTGTATTACTTTTCAAAAACTACTTTTGTTTTCAGAAAAGGGCATTACATCATTCAAAGATCAAAAAGTGAAGTATATATTGCATTGAGAATGAAATATCTGGCTTTAATGATGGAGGTGTAGGACGTTCGAAAACAAGTTTGAACTTTTGCAACTTTCAGAATTTCAGACATTTTAATGAAAATACACATATAAATCTACATTATACTATTCGAGCCAAAGATTTGAAGTAAAAACGTGCAGCTATTTTACAAAAAAGTTTTAGAAAGGTCACCGGCTTCATGAAAAATACTCCCAAACATTAGATAGATTAACAAGATATTCGGAACGGGCACTGTCAAATCTTTCTTGTGAACCTTCAAATGTAAACCTGTTACAAATTTAAATTAAAAGCTTCTAATGTGACTTAGTTATGCGTGACATATTATTTCATCCATACAGACATCTCGATTTTGGGGTCGAAATTGCAAGTATCTCCTCGTCACTTCCACTAATATTAACGATCTTTAGAACACTAATAGACCTCAATCCTGTCATCTCTTGTGCGAAGTTTCAGGACAAAAGAATTTTAAACAAAGATTTTACGACCGTATTGTTGATGTAATGCTAATATTTCCTCCATAAGGATCAAAAGTAAAAATTGATATCGATGAAACAAAAGCAGTCGGTTAACACATGAAATATACATATCTGGATAATTTAATTGTCAAAAATTCAAATAATGCCGAAGAAATACTGAAAGAGTTGAGAGATTGTTACCCTCTGCAAATATGCTTGCCTTGTACAAATACTATAGTGTTTCGTAGAGAGAATAAATGAACACATAGATGCATGAAAACAACAAAATATATCAGACTTCGTTACACATCGCGAAAACACAGGTCACACTTTCCATCTCCGTTTAATACTTTGAAATCGCAGAGAAAGGACATAGTAAGTTTGGAACTGAAGAGCGTTAAAATGTTTCACATTCTGTGATCTATTCATGAATCTTAATGTTCTTTCTTCAGTGAATAAACTTCCACAGTAACCTTTTAAAGGCAGCGACGCCACACATTCAGTATTCGGCGAGCACCTAATAAGGCTCACTGATTCCCGAGTACCAGGAATGAGTTGCTTGTTCTTTGCCGAGCGCCTAACATGCTGTGCTCCTCCTACCCGCTGTCGGTCTCTCTTTGGCGTTCTGCGAGTTGGTGTTCATACCACATCGAAGGAAGTGAACATTCTCCGAGCACTGTGGCTAATCGGGTTTCGGCGATAAGACGCTGTTTTTTTCGCAAACTGCTGCACGTAAAGGCGGGCCCACACATTCGTTATTCGGCGAGTAGCGAGCAAGCTCTTGCCGAATCCCAAGTAATGTGGATGAGTTGCTTGCTATTTGCCGAGTGACGAACATTCGGTTTTGCCCTACCCACCGCGTGTAAGTTTTTTGGACACATCAAAGGAAGCGAATTTTTGCCGAACACATCAGCTGTTCGGGATTGGGCGAGCAGAAGCTCGCTGCTCGGCGAATGCCGAATGTGTGGACCTGCCTTAAGGCACTGTTTTTACTTAATTCCCCAACCGTCAATATCTAACCCGAACAAAAATGACCTCCTCTCCCTCATCTCTTACCCACAAACCAAGCAATAGTCTGTACATGCGAAGCCGGCCGGAGTGGAGTGGAGCGGTTATACAAAATATAAAACCCGTTTTAAACTGTCGATACAGTTCATTCCTTCCTCTGTCTAACAAATGCCCGGGAAACGCCAGGTTACTGCTGTCAGTATACTTATAATGCGTTAGAAAACTCAAGAATCAATGATATTTTGGTTGAAAGTGGTAGGTACTCACCGAGTTCACAGAGTATATAACCATGTTCTTCCCGGGTGGAACCTTCTTTAGTCCTGCTATAAGAAATGTCAGATGCGAATAGAATTTCCATTTACTAGTTGCATTAGCCCCGCTTGCATTTTTCTTCTTCTCCACTCTACGGCATTCCTGGAAGAACTGGGTTTTCAAATTATGCATTTTGCGGTGTACTTCTTTATCTGTGCAAGAAAATTGTTCTCCAAGTTCCTTCCAGCACTCCTCTTTCCTGCTTTTATTTTTATTCTCATCATTCTTCGTGTCCCATAATTCCGGGTACTTCTCAAAAGAAGAAATGAGTGACAAAATTTCATCATTTGTCCACGATTTTATTTCACTCATGTCTAAATTTTTTTTAAAAAAAAGTAAAATATATCAAGTGATGAAAGACAGTCAAGCAATGCATATAATGTGAGAATCAACTCATTAGATTTACCTAATAAGATTAATAAGAATTATGCATTTTATTACTAATGTAAATTATCATGCACATATGTAGTATCTACTGCATTCAGTATGTATTAAGAAAATACTTAATCACAAATTTTTTTTTAATACTCACTTCAATAAGTCTTGGAGAATGTAATTAACTTCTACTCCAACAAACGATATACTGTGTACAAATTAAAAGTAACCCGTCGCAATGAAAAATGATTGCTAAGGAAGGAGCAACATAGCTCACTTGAGTTGCGAAAACAATTGCAGGCGGCTTGGCTAACAGCGCGGCGGCCAAAGAATCGAAGAGGGAGATTCTACGTAAGAATACACACACGCAGCACGCGCACACACACACATACACACACACACACACAGACAGACGCGTACGCAAATCCCTGCAAGAAACCAGAAGAACGGTGTTTCATGAAATATTCAAGAAGCTCTCGGCCACGAATACACTTCTCGCGCAAGTTCTTGCCAACGGACGCGAGTGAGACACGCAACAACGTCAGCAAGCGAACTCTCTCGCCAGCGCACAGATGGCAGCAGTGTGCAAGGAAATTGCGCGAACGCCGCTTCGCACCACGCCGGTCGTTGACGGAACCTAACCTGCCATCAACTGGCTTCCTCAGTGCAGCTTTGTAAACAACACTGTATTGCTCTTGCTTTTGCTTTTGACAATATAAACCAATTTTATTATCAAGTGCAAAAAAATATTTTAATAATTATTCGAACGATTTGAGTCGTTACGATTTGAGTCGTTACGATTTGAGTCGTTAGAATAATAAATATAATTGGCGAATTTAATTTCGGGAATACATTTTACAGTACATAGTATTATGTTTAGAAATCATTGGAATTGTTTACGTTTCCTTGACAACCGTTATTAAAACAATGTAAGATATATTCACTTGACATTTATTTGGAAATTTTATTTACACTTAATCGATTTCGTACTTTTCGGTGTCAAAAGGTCCACAAAACGTGGATTCTAAAATAATTTACCTGTACACACACACACATACACACTTGTGCGAGTATAAATATTTATATACAATACTCCAAATACTTTACTACATATGAAAGCAAGAGAAAATTGCTTTTTCCTGTAACAGGGATTCGCAAAACAATTTTTTTCTGTCATAAATCTGATTTTTTCGGCAGCATCACAATGGTTACGAAGAGTAAAAACGCACTTCCATTTTATCCACAACGAGCCGATTTCATACATTAAGTAGGCCCAGACGAATGTGGTCGTTGATACGATGGGAGAATTGGAAAATAATTGTCCCTTAAAAGGAATGGTGGGGTGTGCTGTAAATGCAAGACAAGTCTAGTGGTGATGCGCTGCATACCGCAACTTCTCCTTCTCTAGTTTCTTCTCTTACAATTAGTTTCACCTCTCACGCAACAATTATTCATAATTCTTTTAAAAAAGTGCATGACATGATTCAAAGATGTAAAACTGAGGAATAAATTGTATTGAGGAAGAAACCTCTGGCTTTAAAATTGGATACATTGTACGGGATCAAAAATAATGTGTACTTAAGCAATTTTCAAAATTTCGGTAATTTTAATGAAAATCGGAGTTACACCATATTTATAAATCCTCTTCCTTCTATTTGAAAAAACATTTTTTTGACATTCTTACTTGTCATTTTGAAGAAAATTACGAAAATGTTACAGGAGCTTTCTGTAAAGTACGTCCAAAAATTAAAATATCTTGACCTTTGGGACGGCACAACTAGATCTTCCTGCTGGTCCTGGCTATTAATCAAGTTTCAGTATAAGGCATCTAATGTGATAGAGTTAGGCGATGCACAAACTCACATTCATCCATCCATCCAGACATCCCAATTATTGGATTGAAAATTACGTGTATCTTCTCGCTTTCTGAACCATATCTTAATCAGCTTTAGAACAACACCGAAATCCTGAGGTGTGTGTGAAGTTACACATCATTGTTCTAACGTAACGATCATATTGGTTTGGCGATTCCTATACGTTTCCTCTGTATACTATAGTTAAATTTAAAATTAAAGCTCTGCGAACATGATCAAAAATGTATCCATTATTTTTTGATATTCCAACTCAATATTGATTCATTTGTCATAACGCTGTTTAAGTTTAAAAATTTTATCTGCAAGGAATATTTTAGGGTCATGCATAGGATTGATTGATTGATTGGCGGACTGATGTTTCTGAGCACGTCAACGAATCGAATTGCTTTCCAAATTTAAGTTTGGATGACGGGCCACGAACCCCGCACGATCTTTCCTCCCCCTTTCTTGTCCTACCCTCTCCCGTCACACACACACACACACACACACACACACACACACACACACACACACACACACACACACACACCTCTACATGAACGTGTCGGGAAACCAATCGGAAGCGTAGACCTTGTCCTGGCTCGGGCAGTGACCTGGGGTAGATATCTGAGGGTAGGGATCTCCCGCAAGCCGACATGTATGTCGGTATCGAATCTCATTATCCAGCAGCGTAGGAACACCACCCCTTCTGTGATAGAACATGCATTGCACTAACGTGACTAAAGACCACAGCAGCTGTCGCGCCCAGACCTCTCGCCTCTCGCCTCGCGTCGCGTGACGTAACCGAAGGTCGACCACTCGCAGTCTGCTCCCGGCGTCGGACTCGGCCGCTCGTCCATCACGACGCCGGGCACAGTCACTAGGACCAGGCTTGACCTAGATCATCGCCCTCCGACCTCGCCGCTCCCCCCTCCCGTCACACCTCGCGATGCCGCGGGACGATGCTGGTCAACAGGTGGCGGCGCTCAGGAAGCCTTTCAGATTTCAAGCAATGCGTGATTTTTTTCTACGGATGCCATAACGACAACAAAACATCTATGACCAAAATTAAAACACTGCGGTTAATAACTCGTGGATGCTTTTAAAACTGGATGAGTTACCTCCAACACTTACGTTGAACGATGGAGAATTCAATTTGACAGTGATCGTGTTTATTAATACTTTATAATTAAGGTTAAGTCGACAAAACAAGATACAAGATAACAAAAAAAAAATGACAAGACAGCCTGAAATCATGAACGCTTAGGGTCTTCTCAAGGGGTCAGAGCTTCGTCCGTTCGCCGTTGACTGATGTGGGAAGAAGGGAGAGCCGCCCTACGCCTAACTGCGCATGCGTTCACCCTATAAGCAATGCGTGAAATTTTTCTACGGATGCCATGACGACAACAAACCTACGTACGTCCGCGTACGTAATACGAGGAAAGGTGTAAGAAATATCAAAGCATCGGGGTCGTGTCTCGTGTGAGAGAGAGTCTGCTCGATGAACGTAACAACGTTCGCTTTGTTCGAACACACTGAAATGACAGGGACATCATCAGGTATTGTTTCATATTTTAAATTTTACAAAACTGCGATTATGTAATTATCTTTCACAAACAAAAAATTGAAAACGTACAACCATCAAGCACAAGCATCGATGTTAAATGTGAGTATTAATAAACGAATGTTTAAAAGTCACTGTTATTTTATAGAAACATTAATGTTTTGAAATAACCGACATCCCTTATTCATATTCTGTTCGATTCAAAGCTGTGCGGTATTATGTGTTGGGCGTTTGCAGTCTTCCGATACAAAATCAATAGTTCCGGAACTGAAACATTTGAGTGCACTCTTGATCTTTAGTGATGATAATTTTAGTTGAACCTTCACTCGTGGAATACGAACATACCACTCTTAAAGACAATTCTGCGTCAAAGACTATCTTCAGCATTCCTTCGATACGATATGATGTTAGAAATGATTACCATACCCATTTCTGGGTTTAGGCGAGGAAGGATGCGTTCTCTCCGTTTGCTGAATACGATCATAGAGTTGTTTTGGCTGTGCTTTCCGTTAAATATAAACTCGGGAATTCTTTAATGGTTAAAGGATATTCGCTCCAATCAATCAGATATATGATTTTACTGCTAGAGTATTATTGATTTCGTTTTATCACCTGCACTAGCTCGATATTCGGGGCTGATATGAATTAGTTAGGTCCTGTTGATATTAACCAATACATTCCAATAAATTATGTTATTCCACGGACTGGCACGAGTACTTTGGTAATTTCCAGATATCGGTTATTTTAGTTTTCCCCCTCGACCCAGTTTAAGTTACTGCTACTCTTGTGTACAAGAACAGAAATGAGAGGTATTTGAACTTAAATTCATACAACATGTGTATTCATTTCAATTCACCACCGGAGAGACATCACAGCGGTTGTACAGATTATTTAGTCAGTAGGAGAAAACCGAAGTTTTACATGATATGATGAATGTCACGAAAGAACGTAGGTGTCTAAAATGTGAATTACTAAATTAGCTAATTTCTATTACCTAAACGAGGCAATTACTAAAACTCACCAAGTCTCAGTCACTCCTCAAGTTTTAGAGATTTCAACAACGGAGTTTTCTGCACTTACCTGCAAAAAGGAAAATAACATACAATAATTCCACACTAACGGAATGTTAAACCACTAAATTACTGTAGGATCACGCTTATCCGTGTTAATTCGAGCTGAGATGTCTTCCCATATAGAAAAATTGTGGGATTAACCGCATACACACGATATCCGCGTGAAATAACACAACTTCAGTTTTCCTAACCAGTACATTTCAAAACTATGAGCAATGTAATAATTTTAGAGCTTATTTTAGAACGTTTTATAACTTTTTCAAAACTTTATTTATAATCACAACAGTTCATCAGACCACACCCGAAGCCTATAGTTTCAACTCATAGAGAGTGCATTGGTTTAAACAGATGATAAGCACCTTTTAATTGTGTACTTTTGATGAACTGGAATTTCGTATACTCGGGTGGGTTAACATCTTGTTTTCTGCGTTAGTTTCATACAACTTCGAAAAAATGTTTACAGCAATTGGTCTAAGACAAAAAACTGCTTCTACACACTTTTATACAGCATTATTATTTTAGTCATCGGACGCATAAATTTATTATTTCTTCACAATTGCCGAATTCAAACTTGGTTTTCACTTAAAATCATTTTTCCCCAGTAAGCCTTTTTCTAGCCTGCAGCGGGTTACCCTTTACGCCCCGATGCGACGTATATTCGACCATACACTAGACATACACACTTGCGGGGTCCTCTGATCTGTGCTCAGCAGAACGCGAGGCCGTTTATGACAACATATACTTGAGAGACAAGGGACAAACAACCATGCCCAAGGCGGGATTCAAAGCTGCGACCCTTCTGAACGAAGCGCTGCGTCGGTGCACGCTCTAGCCACCTCGGCCAACCAGGTCGGCACAATCATAACTAATGGATTTAAAAGATCGATTTTTGTTAGGAATGTATATGGTGTAACGTACAAATGTACAAATATAATTTTGGGACATAGAAATTTAAAGGTTCACGTTGAAAGAAAGAACATATTTTAATTTCACAATTATT